AAAAATAAAATCTTGACACGGCACAAAGTGACGACAAATTAAAACACCTACCTTCGGCCCTTTATAAAATTGAAAACAAAAATCTTGCATGTTAACACACAGTGCATCGATATTACTGTAAAACCATTGTCAAACGAAAGCAAAACAATCTCACAACAGCATCGATACGGAACGATAATATTTTCACAAAATCGAAACGTTATTTTCTTCGTTCGAAGAGGAGAGAGAGAGAGAGAGAGAGAGAGACGAGGATCATTGGACACCGAAATGGTAAACACCATGACGTTATTCAATATTTGGATGTTAAAACGTTTCCAATGGGAAGCGCGATCTCCTTTAACAGCGCCGGAGGGAAATTGCACGCGGCCGTTGAAAATTTCGAGCACGGCAAAGTGTAATACAATGCGCTCACGTCCCGCATAAATCCAACCAATTTTTCCGGGGATCGCGAGCGCAATAAACATTGATCAGCCTGGTTCCACGTGACGGTACAAAATAGCTGTGAAAACGAATACGAAAGTCGATCCGCCACTTCGAATGATCGCCATTTTCCATCCGAGCCTACGCTTTAAGACGTGTACGTGATGCGGGAAAACGCATCATTCGAAATTTCATTCCCCGATTGATCGCCGTTCCTATCCGCTCCTATCCTTTATACGCCTTAACACGTGTACGTGACGCGGAACACGCCTCTTTCTCTTCGCTCGCCAAGCGAAATCTTACGGTTTGGTGAATAGAATAACGGCAACAGGGATATCGAAATTTCTTCCTTCTCGAGGAAGTACTGTGATACTCGATGGCTATGGCTTTGAGCCATAATTGAATTCTCTTTAATTATTCACTCAAATTATTATTGTGTTACTTGGATGTTGATACCGTGGTGAATTAGCTTTGGAAAAAATTCGAATCTTTAATTATTAGCAATTGTACACGTCATTACCTTAGAAGAGAATCAATTAATTTCATACGTGCTTAAAATTCGAATTCTCCCAAGAGAAAAACTTCGAGTCTTCTTCTACACGATCCATTATTCCAAGAGAAATCGTAATTACGAGAGGTTTCGATTTTCGCGGGAAAAGAAGCGCATCGTATCCGTTTATAAGAGGAACAGAAGAAGCTTCTGAAAAATCTTGCCAAACGGAGGCTTCGATTTCTCGATTGGTAGTTATTCAATCGCTTTACACCACCGTCTCCATTTTCCTCTCCTTTCCAACAACCACCGTTCTCGCCCTTCCCGGCTATACACTTTCGATACCAGACTACCCGATAACAGATCAAAGAGAAGCTCTCCTCGGCTCTCCTTATTCTCCGCATTCCAAGGCATTCCCTTGGCATCGACAGTATCCAAGCAAACTCTCTCTCTCTCTCTGCAAAGTATCCTCATCATCCGTGTCTCCTTATAAGCCCAGCCGTCTTTATTACCCAGCGTTGAAGGATGTGGACTTAGGTTAACGGAGTGTTCCACCCTTTTTCTTTTTTTTTCTCTCTCCCTCCAGTTCCTTTCAACCCTCCTCTTGTGCTTCGGTGCCAAGGCAAAAGACGGCAGTAAACCGCAAACGACCTCGAGTCTAACGAGGGTGCGCATTAGTCACGGGCGGCGAACCGTATGGGCTAAGATATTACGCGTGATGCAATTTTATTTACGAGCTGCGATTACAACTCGGCCCTTAATCGCTTTTTTTATTTTCCTCCAGCTCGTGTGTTCGTCAATGGATGGATTTTATATATATTTAACGATTACGATTGATCTCCATCGAGTTGTTGTCTCGGATGAGACAAAGAAAAAATGGGGATTGGGTCTTTTTCATATCACGAAAAGTGGACAAAGATTAGTTTTTGATTTAGATCTGTATTTGAGAATTTTAGAGGAGGGATATTGGATCGATTCGATGATTGAGAAATAGAAATTGTG